ATTAAAACAATAAAATACGTGTCTCCTGTTCACCAAAACATACCCATCTTTTATGGAAAAATAAAGTAGTCCAAAAGTATTCTAAAAGTAATCTGCCACCGGTACCGACCGGTACCGGCGGGGATTGTTGTTAGCTTCTGATGCGCAGAAGAAAAATCTGGCCTACGCTATTTTTTACAGGCCCCCCCTAAAGTACATTTCTGCCTGTACACTACTTGTTCAAACCCTATCCAGTACTCTGTTGCACAGCACACATTCAAATAAACTAAATAATACTTGTCTTATTGTACTATCTGTAGGTTTACATTTGAATTTACTACAGTCATTTTGATGACATCTACAACTCTCGTTTATCTGAACATCTTTTGCCAGGTTTGTAACATCGTGAAAAGTCATTTCATGCTTCCACAACAAGCTTTAGCATTTTCAAGAGGATGATTCAGTGGTTTCGATCAGTACACACATACTCGAGCGTGAGTAGCTTTAATGAAGCAGAATTATGTAAACCAGGGTTGCCAACTCTCACGCATCTGGCGTGTGACACACGCTTTCACTCTCAATCTCACGCTGCCCAAACTATTCTCATGCCAAAAACAAGATGAACCGGCGATCTTTTTTGGTTGGTTATTTACAATGTTGAGTTGACAGCTGCTCAAGCTGTCGATCCGCTCCCTTCCCGCCCCCACCACTCTTAACAACGTTAACAGACAGCATAGCAGTGGGAGCCGGTTGGTCAATCCCCGACCCGTATTACGCATGCGCAGATCTAAAATCCAAGATCCATTAGAAATGATAAAAAAGTAAAAGTCTGCTGCTTATTGTTCTACTAGGCCAAAATAGAGTCAAAGAGTATATGAGAGTGAGAGTGTGTTAATTAATATATTTGGCAGTTTGGAGTAAGTCTGTAGATTTGTTTGTGTGCGCGTGTTTCATGTATAGGCCTCTCACGATAATTAATTTTGTTGGATACATTTTCCCGGAAATTATTGCGATAAGCGATAATATTGTCGGCACCGTTGTATGACCATTTTAGACCACTGACATAATGATAATATATAAATAATTCAAGTACATCCTTTCAAACTGATAGTCACATCCTCATGTAAATGGAAATGTATCGAGTTCAGAAAAGTTATCGAGTTCATT